ACATATCCCTCAGTTTATTTGTTTAAATTTTATGCATTTGCTTACATAAGGCTAAACATTTCTAGGTAGGAAATTTACAAAACTAATTTTAAATTCTTATAGCTAAAATTTTAACCATTATAATTTTAAATTTTTTTTTTTTTTTTTTTCCTACAAATGTTCATCTTTAATGTTAACTTATAAATAAGTCCCTCAGTTTGAAATGCATTTACAAAACTTTTCTAACCTGGAGATGGTTTATATGATTGATTTCATAAAACTTAGAACGCACCATTCATAAATTCTGAGCATAATTAGAATTGTGTAAAATATATAATCTTCAATTCATATTTAAATTTTTATTCATGTGGAAAAAAAAAATTTTCCTCTTGTTTTGTTTGACAATAGAAACCTTGGTTTAACAACATAAATCATAAAACAGTTATAATTTCTTTTTCTAAACAAATTTTGCTAACCATCTCGTTTTTGAGGGTCAAATAAGTATTCATAGCTGACCATTGATAATCTGTGTAGGTAAAATGCATTATTACATAGTGCAGATAAGTTGACAATTTACAAAAGCAATAATGTTGTATTGTGTATTCTAAAAACAGTGTGGTTACTAATTTGATTAAAAGGTACAATGGTGAGAACATTAATTAAACCTATTTTATAAATATCAAATATTTTATGAATAATTGTTATCTTCCTGTACATTTTTCTTCATTCTTTGAGAGTTAAAATCATTTGCTTCCATTTTTCTTGGGCCTGTTCTTTTTGTGTACAGTTTTCTTATATATAAAGATATACACAATTGTCCTTGTATTAATATGTTTGTCATAATATTTTTGTTTGAATCTATATTGACATGCATATTGACATTGTGCATCTTTTGCTATTTTGTAAGGTTTTCTTGGCATCTTTGACCAAATAAGGCTTAAAGTTATTCATTAAGTGAGAATTATTTTGAATATAAAGTGAAAATTTAAAGACTGGAAGCATTTGAAAGGAGACTGGAGAGAAGAAAGGTGCTAAAATAAAAAAAAAAAAATGAAAATGTGAAAATAGTATGGAAAAGAAAAATGAAAAAAAAAATGAATGAAATCGGAAAAGGTTGAAAATAAGAGAAATGGGAAACGTGAAGATAAGATATAAAAAGATAGAAGTAGACAAAAATGAAAACAGTATCAAGAGGAGAATGAGAACACATCAAATATAATTTGTAAATATTTGAAAGTGAGTGATGGCAAAAATGAGAGCAACAAAATGACATTTTTATTTATTTTTTTTTTTTTTTTAAAGAAAAGGATGAATGAAAGTATACAAGAAATGCAAGAATAATTATTAATGAATGATGATAGAAAGCTTATAATGAATGCTTCATTTGTTCTAAGGCAATTCGAATTGAGTTCTACTGAAGCAAGCCTGTTTGGTGGCTGGAATTCTTTTGTGCAACTTGCAAGACATGATTGAAGGTAACATTGATGATACAAATGCAGGAGGCCAGTCTGTCACATGACTTCTGCATAGATGTTAAAAAATAGGCATTTACTTTGTTACAGCTTATATGAAACAAAAATTGAAAGTTATTCCAATTTTTGGTTGATGAATTAGGAAAAGGGAAACATTGTCATTAATGATTTAGAAAACATTTCTGAGGGAAAGTGGCTCACAGAAAAAGTAAAAAGAATGAAAAGCTGGAATGAGAAGAAAAATATCGGGTGAACGAAATGTGAGCAAAATATCTAATTAACAACAGAAATAAAACCTTTTTATTTCTTTAGCCAAATTAGTATAGTTAAAGTGGCAACAGAGGTTACCAGCTAATCCCAAATATTTTTATGCATATGATTAGTGTAACATTTGTAATACCTGTGATAATGTATATTTGGCCAACTTTGATAATATTTTAGATTTTCTCAAAGCTTGTTAAATATGTGAGTTATTCATTATAAAGAGTTCAATTTGTACACACTTTCCATTTCTTCTCATGACCACTTTACAGTAACAAGAATATTTCTAATATAGTTTTGCCATTAAAAACCTGGAAATGACTTCAAACTATTTATCATTGAGGACATTTTTTAATGAATTGTGCCTTACTATATTCTTTTGGAAGGAAGAATGTTGTAGTTGGTCTACTACAAATAAAAAAAACAATATATTCTTCTGACAGCTGAAGTAATGACAAACTAAATTTTTGTTAATTTGTAATTCAGAACTGATTATAATATTGCCAAATAACCTTAAGAATTTCTTGTTTGTGAGTTAATGATTCATTGAAACTCATGTTGAGAAATCAATTCTATACCAATATAGCTTTTAAACATAGATACAAAATGATATCAAAAAAAGATCTTGGAATGAGTTTCACTTTCTTCAAATAAAATTATCAGGAATAATATACTGTTAAACATTGTTGCAAATGAACTAAACATATTGCTTAATTTGTGAAATTAAGAATTCTAATAGTAATCTCTGTTGGAACTTCCATATTAACATACATAGCTTTTACTCTTAAAACTTTTTGCTATGATCATTATTTTTACATTATTCTTAATTTTACAGACAAAACCTACCAGTAGTTAAATTTTGATATTTTTTAATGAAACTGATCAAAAGGGTAAAATTTATAAAAATTAAAGGCTTTTGTTCATTATTAATATTCTAAACTGATTCGTATCTCAGGCAAAAAATTAAATACATCACATACGTCGCGCATAAATTGCAGTAAGGTTGCAGATAATTTAGTGTTAACGCATGACAGCAGAACTTGGATGGTTTTTTTTTGTTTTTTTTACTTTGTAATTTAAAAAAAAATTATAAAATGCCAGAGTTACGTCCCTTTGATCAACCATTTTAATATCAGAAGAAAAAAAAAAGATGCCTGGCACTCTTCGGATCCACTTGATAAATATATATGTGGTTTATGTATCACATAGATTTTAGTTGATAGAAACTCATCAAACCTGTAGATCTTATTTTTAAATTATTGACGTTAATGATGCAATAATAAACCAAAACATTTTAAACAGTGATATGTCTTTTTTAAATACTATAAATTTTTATTTAATATCTTTGGATAAATATTAGATATGAAAACATTAAACTTTTGCTTAACCATTCATCTTTGAATCTAATCACACTTCATCCAGTTTTTTTTTTTTTTTTTTTTTTTTTTTTTTAAGGAAAGTAACAGATATTTTATCTAGTTCAGTAACTAAATATGGCTTGCAATTTAATTTCACAATCTATGAAATGACCCTACATAAAACTTTTAGTAGATAATTTCTGTATTTCCTCACTTTATCAATCCTTGGATCAATGTTATACTATCAAGTTATAAACTGTAGCACAAAGTTTGTAAAGTACTTGTTCTATATCAGTAGCTCAAGTATTTTTGTATTTTACTTTGATTGAAACACAAAAATAATCTATATATTTAGAAATCCCATTCAGAAATTGTTTTAGATATTTCCAAAGTTCTTTTATGTTGTTATTACAGTCACCTCATAAAACTTTTTTCATATTTTATTCCATTTAGTTAACAAGAATTCTAAATTTAAAATCTCATTTGTTTCCATTAATGGCAGAAATAAATTCTTGCCTACAAAGTTAAAATTCCCAACATTTATAGAAATATTTTATCAGATGTTTCTTTCAAGTCTCCTTCCATTTGCCCTTCAATTTCAGGTCTCACTTCTATTATAACATTGAATGGTGATGAATTTTACAATTATAAATTTATTTACTACTTTCAAAATGACTATAACTTAAGTTCATGAAATCTTGTCTGAAATATGACAATGGCAATTTCTTGAATAATATACTATAGACAGCCTGCTGTATAATTCTTTGACATGTAAATCTATTGCTCAGATGTTACATGCATTAAACAATTTTTCATTTATATATATATATATATATATATATATATTCAGTTTTATGAATATGAGTTTGTAAACAAACTCCTATCCATACAACTGAATATGTTAGCTCTATCACTGATATTGAGTGCTTTCCACTAAGTACTGCACATACAAAATTTATATATATATATATATATATATATATATATATATATATATATATATATAAAAGCAAACAAAAGATTTCACTTTTAGAAAAATTGCAAAAATATCTTACAGTATTGACTACAACATGAAAAGATGATTTGTCTCTATTAGAAATTTTGATCTACAGAATAGGAATTAGATAATTTGAAAATATGAAGTATTATTTTTTTTTTTTTATATACCAGAAATTATTTTACACAAAGATGGCTTATTTTGTATGGATGCCTGCAGACACAAGGACTTTTACAAATGTAAATTTATCAATGATTCTAATTTTTCCACTACATACTATTTTTAAACCAACTGTTACTCTGGTTACTAAACTGTCATTGAAATATTTTATCTTTGTTTTAATTTTCAACTAAAGATTGTTATATTTTTATAAATAAATGTAATATTTTAATGTCTCTTGTGAAAGAAAAATATTTGAAAACCTTTCTCATTGTTATAAGCTACATATTAAATTTTGTATGTGTTGTTGCTAAAATATTCAGTCATTGTTTTGAAATGAAACTTTATCCCAAATTTGTTTAATCTTAACTACAAAATTCCTCGGTGCCCAAATAATAAAGTTCCATTTCTTCCCTGGCAAAATGCATCCCAGGAGACCAATTTTTTAT